TATTTCTTGCTCATGTGTACGTGAAAGAAATAGCAGATGCTTTATTTAGATCAAACGGAGAATAGAACCTTTGAGAACCACCAGTGTATATCGATTTCACTGATATCCCATTACTGTTATCAGTACGGGAATACGGGTTTAATTTTCTTATAAGAAAGAAGTTGAAACAAAAGGCTACATATGTATCTATATTTTAATTAATATTCATTTTGATCATCTAAGAAACGAAGAGTAAATGCTAATTTAATGAGAGATTTTTTTAAAGTAAAATTTTAGTAAATGCTGTAAAACTGTAATTTAATACATTTTCCACATTTTGCTTTCTTGCCACATTTTGGATTTGCAAATATTTATAATAAAAGAAAATATAGAAAGCAAATAAATAAGAGTAATTACTGCTGAACTCACAGAAAGTCTTGACTTTATAAGCGGAATTACTCTTTCCATAAAATAACCAGTAGTTGGAATATTATCGCGTTTCGTCTCTTTCGTATTTTTGAATAAAACTTCTATGCCGAATGCGAAAGAAAACATAAATTAATATAATATTTGATTTTAAATCTGTGATTTTCAAGTATATGCACTCATACCCTCATTTACATATGTATATACCATACGCTTAAGCATATTAGTTTAGTGAGGTTACGTGAAGATGGCAAAGCACACAGGAGGGAATGCCTTCGTGGATTACATTCTAAGGGATTATTCAGTTATGGCAAAGCACACGAGGGCTGTCTGCCTAAAGGGAAGGATGCCTTTTCGTGGAAGACCTTCTAAGGGAAACTGGCTAGTATGCACGTTACACATGGGGAAAACGAGTAAAACTCCCATGCAGCCAGCCCGTTCGCGGGATTCGAACCTCGGACCGAACTACCAGTGTTCAACGTCTTTACCGCTCGGCCGCTAGTGGGCCCCACTCTAAGGAAACTGGTTTGTAGGCTACAGTAGAGGAAACCAGGCATGTAGCCAGCCCGTTTGTTGAGGTTCGAGTCGAACTGCCAGTGTTCAGTGATGTTAACCACTCGACCGCTGATAGATTATATATATATATATCAGTATGCGTGTTTGTTATATACACACGCCTGTAATATGTACGTTATAACCGTACGTGTGTCTGTATATGTATTACACGCGCATATATGATTGTATATATACATATAAGTGCATTATACATATGTATACTTACGCATATATATATGCATATATGTACATATTTACATATACATATGTATGTATATGTCTATATGTAAGTATATATATATGCATGTAACTATATATGTAACTATATATATTATATATATATATATATATATATATATATATATATTATATATATATATATATATATATATATATATATATATATATATATAAACCCTGGGATAAAACATAAAAATTTTCGACAGAATTTATATATATATATATATATATATATATAAATTCTGTCGAAAATTTTTATGTTTTATCCCAGGGTTTTTCATTTTGAACAAAATGAAAGCATTCAAAATAGACAGGTCTAATAAGTGGAAAAATAATTTTTTTGTCCACTTCAGAGTTTTCCGCCCAAATGTGTAGCTATTAGCCATTCTGTCGCTGAGATCTACATAACCCATATTAGCGTTGTAACAAGCTATTACATCTGGCTTTTCGGATCCAGTTTCTATTTCTCTGGATGGATTATGCATGTTGCTCAGCCTAAAAACCTCTCGCTTATCCTTCCAGCACGTAGCTACCATACCCTGTGAATATAATTCTCTGCATTCACCTTTTTTCATTCGTGGAGAGCCCAGAATCTTCGGATAATATTTTCGATTTGACCTAACGGTACCACAGCTGTTTATTTTATACTTACGGTGAAGTTCAAGAAACAATTGTGGGAATGAAAAGAAATTATCCATAAAAAGTTTATGTCCTTTTCCTTTAACACATTCAACAAGTCCAGTGACAGTTCGATGTGCAGAACATTTTTTTCTCCATCGCCTAAAACCTTATCCTTCCCCAGATACACACGCATGTTGAACGTTATATACCCATTTTTTATCTGCAAGTTGTAGACTTTAATACCGAAACGTTTTCGCTTTTTCGGGATGTACTGCCGAAAGACTACTCGACCTTTAAAAGCAACGATAACTTCATCAACCGCAAGTTCTTCTGTAGGGTCATATATTTCTTTGAAGCGAGAATTTAATATTTCAAGGACATTTCGAATCTTCCACATGCGGTCGTACTCGGGATCTTTTTTATTCGGTGCTAATTTATTGTCAGAAAAGTGAAGAAATCGAAGAAATGTTTAAATATCGATCTCTTGCATAGCTTTTCCAAAAAATGGGGTTTCGATCATCTCATCAGTCGACCAGTAGTCTTTTAAACTATCTTTATCAATGTGCCCCATAAGCAGAGTCAGAGCTAAGAATTTCCTTAGCTCCGATGCACTTACATTTTTCCATTTCACAGAATGAGCTTTTTTAGAAACACTTTCAGTTAACTCGAAAAATTGCTCGGCATATTTATTTGTTTCGAGTGTTATAAAATCGAGTAAATGCATTTGAAATACGCATTCGAAAAAATCAATTTCATTACTGCATTCTGCAGCATTTCCTTTTAATGCGTTAGTTCCTTTAAATGAATAGGTATCCGTTTTCATCGAAATATCAGGATCAACCCAATTTATATCTATGTCTTCCAGAGGAAATTCATTAATATTTTTTCCTTTGATCTGCAACATCTTCCGAACAGACTGAAATTCCTGTAAAGGAAGAACACCTCTTTTCCTTCATCATTATCAATTTCGCATTCGGAATCACTGTCACCAAAAGCTTCATTTTCAAGATCTTGAAGCAATTTCTCGATTTCTTCTTGAGTTAAGCCTTTCTTTCTTCTATACATAGCGAAAGTAAAGCCCAGCCAAGTATTAGTGCAGAGTTCTAGAGAGCAAGTAAATCACGCAAAACGCAACCAAAGAACATATAGGAAGAACAAATATTCTTTGACACAACTGAAAGATTTTGCCCCGAGCTAAGATTTCACTGCTGAGGGAAACGAAAGGGAATTTACGAACCCCCACAGTTGGGACGCGCGAAGGTCATCTCCCATAATTGGCAAGGGAGGTTATTTGGACAATGACTATCTCCGCACCCTCAAAGATTGGGGGGAGGAATTCTCTGGCCGATATTTCGGCCACAGCCGTCTTTCTGAGACACATCAGCTCTGGCCGATTCTTAGGTCACTCGTCTTTTAAGCGTTAAGAAGCTTCATAGTCCGTCGAAGCAAACCGTAAGAGATGTTTTCTGATCAAGGAACTAACTTTGTTGGAGCAAATCGTGAATTTAAAAGAATTATGGCATCCATTTTGTCATCAGAAAAGTTCCAAAACCTGTTAACACAAGAAAACATTGTTTGGAAATTCAATGCTCCATCCGCTCCACATTTTGAGGATCTTTGGAAGAATGGCATTAAGCAAATGAAAAATCACTTAAAACGTACAATAGGAGCTCAACTGCTCACATCTGAAGAATTTCTCACCTTGATAACTTAGATTGAAGCTTGCATAAATTCCAGACCTATAGTGACGATTTCCAATGATCCTAATGACTTAAGCGCTTTAACACCTGGTCATTTCCTTATTGGAACAGCGCTAACAACCATGCCTGAACCAAATGTGATTGATGATAAGGTAATGCCTGTAGAACGTTGGAAACTCATTCAGCAACCTTTTCAGCACTTTTGGAAACGATGGTAATTCGACTATCTCTCCCAATTGCAAGGACGTGCAAAATGGCTAAAGAACAAACCAAACTTAAATACCAAATACTTGCTGCTGGTAAAAGGCGATAACTTACGACCTTTAAGGTGACGTCTAGGTAAAGTAATTAATGTTTACCCAGGATCTGATGGAAAGTACGAGTAGTGGACTAACAATGGTATAATTAAACATCCTATACATAAACTTACCTTGTTACCATTTACTATAAAATTGTGTATTCATTTTTTTTCTTTTTTTGCTTTACTGTTTTATTTATCTAGTATTGTGTTTCAGACTTTTAGCATAGTTTAGCTACAGATTTATGATAATTTAGAAATTTCTTATTGATTTTTCTATTTGTCTCTCACTTTGGAGAATTGTATATTACTTGTAATTTCTTGAGCTAAATTTAGTACTGTTGTCTGAGTTTAAAATTGTTTATTTATACTTGTTATTCTACATGATTTCATTGGTGAACATTTGGTATACGTGTTTAAATCTAAATTAAAAGTTTTTATATTATTGTTATGATGAACCAATTGTTCATCTGGGAGGAGTGGGTTTGGCACTTAGTAGATGAGTACATCATCCCGCCAACAAATTACCAGTTAGATCTTGTAACTCATAGTGAGCAGACGCATATTTTGAAGCGTCGGAATGGCTAAAATCCTGTAGCCCCACTATCTGAATATGTATATAATCTTGTGTATATTGTTTAATCATAGAAAGAAATGTTGTGTGTGAACTCCGCTTAATCCTTGAAAAATCACTAACCACAAGAAGCATCTTGTAACTATACCTCTGGATACTTGGAGCCTTTCATGATCGCTCACCTACACATACCATATAATGTAAGATGTAATATCAAATTAAAATGTGAATTGTACAGACTTTATCTAAACATACGTACATTTAAATAATAAGCGTAATACATTTGAAACAAGCGTTATGAAAATCTTATGTATAAAATAAAGCCATTATATTTAACTATATTTCGCATGGTTAACTTGAAGGAAATTGAAAACATTTTCCTAGAAAAGGAGAATCAAGATTAATTATACCGACTCTTTAAACTATTCGCTTCGGATTTATGCTTTACTAGAAAGAAAATTATAAACTAAGACTTCTTTGAGGTGTTCCTAGAGTTATGGAAAGCAATTTTTATCCAATGAGGACGAATGCAACAATGAATTAAGCAATTTTGATTGTTACATAATTAATATGTTACACTTATATTTAATTCCATTTTTTTATATAGATTAGTTTAGAAAATTCGAAAGAAGAGAATGATACGTATTGCACCATCCAGGAACTTAAGGATAAAATACCACAGGTAATTAATTACCATGCAAAATCTTCAATTATTACTTTAACAAATTCTTTGAAGGATCAGTAATAATTATCTTTAGAGATAGATTTAAAGCATAAGAGAATACACAACTTCTTTCTTTAAAAAATACTGCGTGTTTACAAAAGCAACAGTTTGGGTTAACTAAGATTAATATTTGGATCTTCGGAAATTTTTATTAATGTTGTCACTTGACAAATTTGATTGAGTCTACCTCTGTATTAGTTTTATATACATTATCGTGCTTCTAATAGTTGTATGAATAATATCCTAAAACAAAAATCCTTTGGTATTCGAAAGATGAAAATTTAATAGACATTTAATAGTACTCTTCTGTTATCGGTCTCGATTCAAAAAAATATATATGTATGCACGTGTGTATGTATGTGCATTTATGTGTTTGTGTATACACATACATACGTATGTGCATGCATACATGTGCACATCAATACATCTATAAATACGTACATTCATACATACAATCATGCATGCATACATACATTCATACACGCATACATGCGTACATGCATATATACGTACATACATTCATATATACGTAAGTATATGCATATTTCAACACACACAACCGTACTTAAATGCATGCATACATATCTGAATCCGGTCCCGATAACAGAAGAGTACTCATTTAATTTTAAGAAAATAGATATTTTTTTCTTCATGTTCAGTTTGCTTTGCTTAAATGAGTTTTTCTTTCACGCCTCTGCGTTTCATTTGCAAAGTTCAGTGTTAAATAAATTAAACAGAGAAGCATTCTTTTGATACTTGGTTGCTCTTACTTAAATTTGAATCTTACTGAGATTCAAAACGTTTATCTAATTTTTATGAATTTCTGTAGTGTGCTTAGTACAAATTTGAAAAGATTTTAAAAGTAAAACTATAATGGCGCCTAGTTAGACCAGTAAACCATAAATCTAACACATAAGAATCACAATCTCTTCATTGATTTAGAATTTAAGCGGAGGTATACCAAAAGTTTTACTTTTCGTTAACATTTTTGAAGTTCAAACTGACACCTAAAGTCTATTATAATGTATAATATTCAGATGAATGACACATACAGTCATACAAATATAATTTTTATACATGTACACACATACAAATATAATCTTTATACATGTAAAATAAAGCACTACATATATTTAGATTTAGCGGAGTTAAATTTCACATTCGAAATAAGATTTTGAACACATCTAGTACATACCAAAAAAAAAAAAAAAAATTCACAGTATCCTTTAAATTAAAGTATTCAGTTAGGATGGACATCTCTGGTTGATGGACATCTCTGGTGAGGATGGACATCTCATTAGACATCTCTGGTTACAGTTTTATTAAAGCAGGATAAATTCGAACGCAATCTATTTTACTTCATTAGGGAAAAGAATGACATCCGGAATTGTAGGCAAGGGAGAGGAATTAATCTTTCATAATATACATGCATCCTTTGGTCAATATTTTGTCAATGCATAATGCTAGACTACAAGATGCAGGGAAATTAGGGGTAGAGCTGCATGTATACTGCGCAAAAAAAAAAAGGGGGGATAGTTCTATATCTCCTGTTTTACTGGGCCGATTGACAAAATTCAAATTGCGTTTTTCATGTCTCGAAAGCCGACTTAGGATTAATTATTAGATTAATGTATAGCATTGTTCTAACATAGGTATTTTGACACAAAATAGCACATTTTCTGTAATAACATACCAATTTATTTCCATATTTCGATTCTACGACTCAAATTATACCTAGATATTAAATTTTGTAAATTTACTGCTAAATTTACAAGGAAATTCAAAAATTTATATTGGCGCAATTTTCCCAGTTTGCGCCAATAATAATTCACTAGGCGAACTTCTTAATATATGGCAACCAATTTTTCTTTTCCTTCCATTACGACGGAGCGGAAAAAAAGAACTCGTTCTTACCTTTTTACATTGTGCATGAGCGGAAAAAAAGTTACATCGTTCCCAAGTTCAAATAATTTCAGCAAAGTGTCTAAAACACATTTGATGGTTTGACGCTTTGAACGAATATGCCAAATTTCAAAACACTCCAATATATAAATTCCCGTATATCTTCGTAAATTTTGAAAAAAAAACTTTAATGTTTTGCAGGTATGTTCAGAAATACGTCTACTTTAAGATAATGGTAAAACTTTTATAGAGTATAATTCTATTTTAAAAAAAAATATATAAAAATTATTTAAAAATACAAATTTTAAAAATAAACCATAAAAAATGGGGGAAATTTATTTGGAACGAACCTAAATTTCCAAATGTGAAAGGAAGAACCATATAAGTTTAATAAAAAAAAGAGATTAATAAATATGCAAACTCAATTAACACTGAGGAGCTAAAATTTCGAGACTAATATTTTAAAAACTACTCGTGCTAATTTTGCAAAACTTGACAGTTTGGCGTAATTTGAGTCGTAGAATTGAAATATGGAGAAAACATTGGTATGCTATTTCAGGAAAAGTCCGATTTTGTGTAAAAATACCTGTATTAGAAAAACGCTATATATAAATCTAATATATATCCTAAGTCGCGTTTTCGGGTTGAATTTCGTCAATCGGTCCAGTATTTTTAGAAGTTGCAGACACACTGTTTTATAATTTCAAAAATAATACTGAGGTAATATCTGCTATTAAACCTGCGCAGCTTTCTTGAAAGGAAGTAATAATAAAGGTTATGCGATCTGCCGTTACTTCACAACTTAAAACTGACTGTGATCGCTGAAATTGTTTTCCTTTACAACTTGACGAACAGAATATATTTGGTATACCGGATGATAGAGCTCAGTTGGCCGTGTTTGCAAGCATAGCTTTTGATAGTTTCGAAATTAGAGAGGACTTTATAAAGATTATAACGCTAACATAACACACTATAAAGAAAGACAAGTTTTTAGCAGTTATAGATATTATTAACTTTCAAAATACTCCTGTAAAGGAGTTGGTGGTCTTATCGATAGATGGAGATTCTGCGATGACAGGCGAATAGAAGGGATTCATAGACTTATGTCTTAAGGACAACAGCTTTCTAAATTTCTGTCTTAACAATGCATACTACACCAGCAGTCATTAAGTGGATTATTTTAAGTATGAACAATGTAGTGAAAGCCGTCTTAAAAGTGGTGAAAAAATTAAGAACACATACACTTCGGAGACGTTTGCTTACGTCGCTGGGTGATGAACTAGACTCCAACTGGTGATTTACTCCTTCAGACGGAAGTTTATTGGTTTAGCAGAAGCAGAGTTTTACAAATTCTCGAACAGCTGTTTCCTTCCTTAAGAATTTTTGAAAGAACGATACGAATCTTTCCCTGAACTTGAAGATCCAGTTTGGCTGCAATATTTTCCTTTTCTAACAGATATAAGTAGTCTTAACTTGCAGCTTCAAGGTAAGAGAAAAGATATTGATCAAACAACTTCATATGTTTCTTAATTTTTAAAAACCTCAAGCTGTTGGAAAAAAGCCTCATCCAAAGTGAATACACCTTGTCTGTTTGAAACAAATGCTTGACAGGCAAGGCTTTTCACAGCCTCCATACAACAGCAAACAAAACGTTCAACTTATTTCAGTTTTGAGAATTCAATTCTACAAACCCTTCCAAGATCTCAAAAGCATTTGTGTTGTAGCACTGTTTGTCAATTTGTCATTTTTAGAGAATAATGTTAACAATTCTCTACTTGTCTCATGAAACATTTTGATTTTGAAGAAGAAATTCTAGCAAAGGAATTAAGAATGATTGTTTTTTAAAATGATTTAACTTTAAATTCTCTTTTTTCGAGCTCTGAAAATATTTGTTCCTAAGGAAAAAATATCCAATATTGATCCAGGTTGATTAAAAGTGAATTTAGTGTTACATTCTAATTATCTATGCGAGTTCTGTTTCCAGGATGAAATTTATAAGAAACAAGTACAGAAACAGACTGATTGAGATAACGCTGGACAACAGAATTTTCAATGGCTGCCACTAACTACTCTCCAAACATAAAAAATCTTGTTGATGTCTGAAAAGTGTAGTAGTTCCACGGAGAAAATACATAAGAACCACACTTTCTGCATAATTCCGCTACATCGAGAATACATTTACTCTGTTTGACGGTAATAAGGATGGTTGAAGTAAAGTTCTTTTAACAATGAATTCAATTGATCCTGTTATTCAGTTCACTTTTTAACTTGAGACATCCAACTGCCTTCCGGTTTTCGACATCTCGGAAACACGCAACATATCCAACTTCGGTACTACTGTATTATACAGTAAACGTTCGTCTGTTTGCCTTCCACCACACTTCAAGTCCTCTCATTCGACTAAACAGAAATTAGCTTCATTTTATTCCTTTGGCTTCCGAGCACTTCAAGTTGACTCCTCCAAGTCGACGTTTCGCAACGTACACGTTATAATCTGTAAGCAATCCTCTCGGGAATTCAAATGAGGAATATTCCACTGATAACAAACTACAATTTTAATTTCTTTTATAGAACAAACGGGAAAAACCACTATTGCTTGCGGTCAGGGAAAGGGAAAAGTTGTTATGCGCGCTATATCTCTGTATTGTAAAGACGAACACCTCTTAAGTATTTGTTTGTTCGAGTCAACTCAGTCACTACTATAGCTATAGTCACCAAACTTTCTACAATTCTTTTCTGGGTCCTGGGAAAGGTGGACGTCCACTTTAAAAAAAATAGCTAAAATTAGAGCTATTAATTAAAATCTCTGAAAACGCTAATTTTCATCGTCATTTTTCCGAGTAGTAACATTTTCGCACGCAGGAGATAAAAGTCTGCTTTATTTCGAGAAGTGTTGCCATTGCTCGCTTTCAAATCGTAGAATTTTTTAATAAAAATTTTCTAAATTTTACAACGAAATAAAAATAGCATTGCCAAACATTAAATACATTATTCCCGATTCCAAAAATTCGTAGGAAGACATTTCAACTATTCGCATCTTCGTGCGACTTTAATCAGCCGAGATGTTAATTAAAAACTCCGAAACCACTAATTTTCGCATTCATTTCTCCGAGTGGCAACAGTCTGGTGTGTTAGAGATAAAAATGCTTTATTTGGAAAAGTGTGCTATTGCTCGCTTTCAAATCGTGGAGTTTGATAATCAAAATTTCGTAATGTTTACAATATCTCTCTCTGTATATATATGTAAAGAAGAATGTCTGTTTGTTTGTTCGCATTATTGACTTCTGATCAATTCTGATAAATTTTTTGCCATATTTAATCGACTAAACTTTAATATAGGTGAAATATTGGATGGAATTTGAGCTTTTACGACTAGTTCTTCTAATTAGTTCTTCTATCGAAATTTTTTATGTGGGTTCCATACCGGATCAGATTGAAAATTACATGAATCGTATTTTTTGCATTGTTATTAGAGAAGGATTATAGCGGTAGCATTCTCTCTGCTGTTAGATACGTCCCTCTCAATGTAACTGGCATCGTGTACTTTCGATAGTATCAAATGAAAGTAAATTTTTAAGTTGATAGTTTTCGTAGTAGCAATACATCTCTTATCATCAAATTCGCATGATAGTTTGAAGGTTTAACTTCCTCTATTCGCAACATATTATTTTAAATATCTGCTCGAAAACAAGCAAATATGTAAAATACGTTTTTTAACCTCCCCACAGTTTGATTGGATGAAATTTTTCAAAACTGTACGGAATGATGAAATCCTTGAAAATGAAACCGTGCTCGTTAGTGATCAGGATTACATCATGAACGTTGCCAGTTTGATCGTAAATGCAAAGAAAAGGTAAGTCGAAAAATGTTTTCTATTTTCTACGTAGCTATTTGAAATAGATTTCTCTAAATATAGGATGTGATATAAATATATAATACGAAGAGATTTCTATAAATATAGAATACGAAGAGAGAGAGAGGTGTTAAAAACAATAAATCAAGAACTTCTGCTGTTTATGCTAATAATAAACTTACAAAAAATATTAGTTTTAATTTTTCGAACTTTAAACATGATATTCTTTGAAATTATTATTGAAAAAAATTTGATCTAACACTTCATTGAATTAAAATGACTAATTGAATCCAATTTAATTAAATGTAAAGGAAACAGCAATGTAAGAAAATATAGCTTACTTTAGAAGTCAAGCAAAAAAATCAACATTGCATTTGAAAATTTTCCAGGACTAGTTTCGATAGTTTTACCGAACCATCACTCTCGGCTGCCAAAGTGCAAATGAACGAGAAAAGATAAGAATGGCCTGACACGAGTTAAGCTAGTGGCGCCATCTATTGATGAAAGAGGAAAACTAAAACATATTTTCCTTAAAGGCTGAAGGTAAAGATGGATTGTAATTAGTATCGTTAAACTAGAACACAAAGATATTTTTTTAAAGTGAAACGTCGCTAGAAATTATAATTCACCAATGGAAAATGTTTTTTGAATAATTTTGGCTGCAAAAAATGGAAAGTGTGATTTTTGGACCAACAATACTGGGCCACAATGACTTCTGTGTTTCCGTTTTCCTAACATATGTGTCATTTAACGCGAAATTTTAAGGTCTCTTAGTTTGACCAATGTAAATTAAACCACATTGGCAAGGAATCCTGTAAATACCTCAGGAATTCATATCCGGAATGATGTTCTTAAGTATGGAACTGGGAATTTTATTCATAGGAGAATAAACGACCCGAAAGTGATATTTCTATAAAATACTGCAATTTTATAGCTAATTGATGGAAGGAAAGGAATGACAACAGAATTCTTATAATCTCCTAAGAGTCTGCTTCTGGGCGTGTTGAGACAGGCATTGTTTAAATTGTTTGGTTATTAATGTTGGGTGAAAAGCCCCTATGAATAGCTACTACTTTTAAATAATTTAATTCTTGATCAAGAACCAATGTGGAGAAGCGAACTTAAAGTGCCCGGAAAACAAATGAATAAAATGAAGCTAACTTTTGCCTAGTCGGATGACGTGATTTGAATTGTGGTGGAAGGCAAACCGATGAAGGTTTATAGTAAACAGTAGTACCAAAGTTAGATGTGTTATGTGGGATCAAAATATTGAGCAACGGAGGCGAATTGAATTCATTTTAACTTCTTTCCGCAGCTGAGGGTGATGGTTTGGTAAAACCATCGAAAATAGTCTTGGAAAATTTGCAAATATAAAGCTGATTTTTGTAGTTTGACTTCTAAATTAATCTTTGTTCGGGGTGTTATTTTAACCCAAAGCATCGCTTATGAAGCTGTAACTCATATTAATTTAAGAGAGTATGCTTTCTTTAATTTGATAAAAAAAAATTACTTTTTTTTAAATTTCGCACGATGCTTGGAGATAGAGTTGAAAACATGTCCAAAAATCGAGAGCAAAATCTCAACTGCACTTCCAAACCCGATGATAGAAAGTGCATCCAACTTAACTAATGCCTGACGAATCAATAAATATTAGTAGCCTGATAGGTTGGCAATTAGGAGACATGGTGGCTTTTCTAGTGTAATATTTTGGGTATGTCTTAAATTTACAAGAATCAAGCGCAGAAACAGATTGATTGTGGAAACGCTGGACAAGGGTATTTGAATAGCTGCCACTAATTACTCTCCAAACATTAAAAATATTTAGGATGACTGAAAAGAGTAGCTCTACAAAGAAACCGCATATGAATCATACTTCCCTGTGCAATTCTGAAAATTAAAAAGAGTTGTCTTCTATGTCTCTCATAGCTACAGCATATTTTGTCATTTATTCTGTAATTTAAATGTTAAAAAAGCATCTGAAAGCAAGATAATTGTTTCAAAGAATGTTCTAAAATTAAAATTATTGCTTGTTTCAACGTCAGCTGCCTGTAAAGTCAAGGTACCTAGTGTCGCGAATCTCAATACAGTGTATCATGCATAAATTGTTACTTTTATATTTGATTACGAAAGCAATTCTATGCAAAAATATACTTCCTGTATGTCACATGTTAACAGTTAGTAAAAAACACAAAAATTAGAAAGCATTTATTGTAAAGGAAGAGCTCTTAAGAAAGCTTAATTATTCACTGAAATGTTTGTAATTATATATAAAATCCCAATAATAAGATTGATGCATATTTTAAAATTATTTAATGGATGTGTGTATAAATATTTTGAAGGAGATAGAGAAGATCGTTCGACAAATATATTTCAAGAGATAATCACTATGTCCTTCAGCAGTAACACGCTTTAAATAAATATCTTCTATAAATTAGACATTCCTGTTTATTCTGAGTATAGAGATAATGGCATAAAATAAATAAACTATCCATTTTCTCTAAAATCAGCTAAAAAGTATGCCATAGAAGTTCTTCAGTATGGTTCATCTTTGTGAATCCTCATAAGCGCCATTTTCAATTATTTCATGTATTCTTAAGTATACATATTGTTATGTATACGTTTTATTTATTCTTAAGTATTATATTATGCATACGTTTCATTTATTCTTACGTATTACGCATACATTTTTACGTATTATGTTCAGCTTCTTCCTAATTTTGAGATCCGAGACATCATTTTAACGTCATGCCAAATCCCATCCGTAATTATAATTTACTTTAATATTGATGCTTTTTGATATACTCAGAAAATTTCGGAATGCTTGCAATTAAGTTGTAGGGTCATTACATTAATTTGAAGCAGAAAATGTAAAAAATGAGCACTGGGGTTCGAATCCTCGATCTCTGGAATACGTTTCAGATTCTAATTACATCACGAAAGCAGACGGAAAGAAGGAAGAAAATACCTTCTTAAAGTATATCAGTGTGAGGGCTGAGCAATAACCTCTGCAGCTTAGTAATGTGTTCTTCTTTCCAGGGTGCTGGCCAACTACATGATATGGAAATTTGTGAAAGAATCGTTTCCCATGTTGGGTCTGGACTGGACGCCTCGTCGAGAAAAATGCTTCGACTTCATTTATAACAAATTCTCAATAATTTTTGATTCAATCTACATAAGACAATACCTACCAGAGGACATCAAGAAAGCTGTATGTATTTTTCACCTACTATAACATGATACTTTAAAAGACAGAAAAGAAATGCGCCTCGAATAAATCATAAAAGTTACCCAACTTAGTTACCTCTAATTAAGACACAATAACACGCCGAACAAATAAATTCATAGATCAAATAATTCATAGAACATTCATAGAACATTCAAATTCATAGAACAAATAATTCATAAAAATCTTTCTGTTCTAGTTAACGATCCTAATTCCAATCCAAATTTGCCTTCGGCTTTTAGAGAAATTATGTTTTAGTTCTGGTTTCGCCAACAGATGGCGCCACTTGCTTATTCTTGTCCAGGCTTCCTTATCTTATCTAATCATTATTTCCTATCTTGTTCATTTGCGGTTTTGCAGCTGAAGATGATGGTTCGGTAAAATCATCGAAACTAGTCCTGTGAAAATTTTGTGAATATAACGCTGATTTTTGTTGTTTGACTTCTGAATTAGTTACCTCTGTTAGGCATAGATTTTTAGCACAGAAACTCTATAGATTTCGAGTGCGAGCAAAGTTCCTCTTCATCAGGAGCAAAGGAATCTGCAATTGAAAAACCAAGTTATGAACATATTCATACCTAAGTCGGAGTATAAATATGTTTGAATATTATAATTATGTACGTATATAAATATGTTAATAGAATTATTCCAATTTTTAAGTTTTCATTATTGTTCCTACTAACAGATGGCGCTACTCTCTCGTGTCTCTAAACTTCCTTAGAGTATAATTGGTTTTTGAGTTGCAGATTTCATTGCTCCTGATGAAGTGAGACTTTGTTCGCCTTCGAAATTGATAGAGTTTCTATGCTAAAAACCTACGCCTAACAAAGGTTGTTGCTTCACTTTTCTGATAATATTTTTAGTTTACACATTAACTTTGCTAACGTGCGTCGTTTAACCGATTTAAAAAGTAGACGCTTGTCACTTTACAGTCCATTTATTAGTAACTGAAATCAAATGACACTTAAGGAGAGAGGCCAGGAAAAGGATACAGAGATCCTTCCTATGATATGTGAAAAACAAATGAGAAATTGCAATTATTTATTATTATCTCGAATAAGAAAATATTATTTTCGGTTTATTTCACATATAACTAAAAGGATGCCTAGCTTTTTGCTTCACGGGATTTTTATTCATAGATAATATCCAGTTTTTATAAAGTACATGTAAGATGAAAAAAGTTGAACTTTATTCCGTTACTCAATCGTTTCTTGGGTCCTAAGTATACACCGCTGTTGCAGCTGGCAAAGAAATGAAAAACGTTACTTAACTTACACTTTAAAGTCAATCTAATATAGTAAAAATAATTCAATCAAAATTAGGTTGTGAAATGGGATGAATTTCTAACCGGAAATATTCACACCAAAATTAAAACAAGAATCATTCAGAAAAATTAATAGATAGTAATAGAATGGATACAAATCTTATAAAACTGTTAACTGAAAAATAACAGAATGCCCTTGTTCTTCTCAAAGAGCAGCGGATAATTCTCAACACAGCCCCCGTTTCTGAATTATATCTAGAGAATTATAAAGTCCTGAAAAAATTATTTGATAAAAATAATCAAAGCGCTTCAAAAGAGCAACAAACAAAAAAAATTCTACTTGAATTAATCACCATGTTCGGATGTGACCCTAAAATAAATATTTAAAAAATAAACAGAAAATAAAGGCTCTTAGTAGAACAATGCTCGAGTGACAAACCAGAAAAAAGCATTGGGAAAATAAATGCAATGTGGCAAGAAGGTTTCATAACCAAAAGAAAAGCAGAATATCTAAAAATTTTGTAAATCCAAAGAAACATGCTAAACTGAAAGCAAAGTATTTAAAATCAAAATTTTTAAGGAAAATAATTTATTAGAATGAAATTTATTAAATAAAAATGTAAAAAAATATTTGAAACTGAAGAAACAAGAAAACCAATACAAACATGGAAGCAAAAAATAGAAAAAAGAAAAAAATTAAAATATAAATGAAAGAATTTAAATAGATTAATATGCCTAAAAATTGGGAAAATTAAAATAAAACCGAGAGAGATTTAAAAAAAAATTCAGATAAACTTAGACATGGAATTTTGCTTCTTTGAGGTTTCAATTTCCATTTATTATCTAGTTCTTTTAATTCCATTCAAATTAATTTATTCGAATTGATTAATTCAGTTTTATCTTATTTTCCCCAGTTTCAAAAACGTTACTTTTAAATACTTATTGTTCCATTTAAGCTATAGTATTATAGCTATTTAATGGTTTGATTCCAAAATTTAAAAAAAAAAAAAAATTCTGCATTAATTACTGTTTTAAATTCTTACTTAAATAATTTTTAATCAGTGTATTATGAATAAATTCGTTTCGTCATAATTTGAACTTAAAAAATTTTTAGCTTTTCTTTTATAACAGTTGCTTTTGATTTGTAACTTTTCTGGCAGTTCTGCTTTTCCTTTGCTTCGAAATTTAACTAATATTTATTTAAAAAATTGCTTTTAATATTTGTTTAGCACCTTGCTGTTGATTTACCCAATTTTTATCCATTTTTGGAATCTGAAAGTATTAGTAAATAAATGTATAGAATATCGCTTCTCAAACGACCACTTCTGAAAGAGACAAACATTTCTGAGATGACCAACAAATATTTATATTAAGCATTATTTCTCCAAGACGACAATCTCTATAGAAGACCAAAGCTTCTAGAAACTTGAATAGTCATCAGAGAGAATTCGGTTTACTGCAAAATTAACGTGCCACTGTAATACAATATCAATAACAGTGTGCGCAATTGAAAAGCATTTTTTGTCCTGTAATTAGGGAAAAAAGATTCTTTTTTCTAATTTTGTCTATATTTATAGTAGCTTTTGTAATCTGCAAGTAATTATCCATGTAATTTAAACATTTTTTATAAAAAAATATCTTATTTAGAATTTAGCAAATATTCTAGAAAATGCTAATCCAATGAAATTTCCAAATTACCTCTTCAAAAATCATATAATTTGTCTCAAATTTGTAGTCCTTAACATTTGAAAAATAATTGTAAAAGTTCAAGGCTTTTTATAATCTTTGCTTTATTATCATTTTGTAATTCTTCTCAGTTTTTCTCTTAAAACTGTTTTGCAAAGGTGTTATTTCAATCTAAAATCAATTTTTTTACATGACCGTGAAATTCTATTCAAATTAATAATTCACTGATTGTAAAACAATCCAGATATTCTTATCGTAGAGCAATGTAAAATGGACTTTAGAAAATAATAAACATAAAAAAGTAATAAAAGACAATAAAATAACAAAATAAACTTCAATAAAAATATAGGCTGGTCCTCCACAAGCGAACCAACATAACTACATGCTGATGGCTGTGGGATCCTTAAATGCAATAATAAATGAAAAGCTCTGTTCTTTATACAAACTAATTGACTTTTAGCATAGCGTAAATATGTCAAAGTTATTAATTTTGCTTTACTGCCATAAAGATTCTTCAATGTTATATAATTGAAATATGAACATAAATATGAAAATTCATATTAAAAATAATAGCTTGTATACTGAAGTTAGTTCTTACAAATTTAATGAATAAATGTTTTACGTTATCCTACAATAATGTATAAAAAATATTAAGTTGTGTAATTTGTGTGGTAACAATTTGCGCTAAACCACGGTTTCTTAAATTGTGGGTAGCCAAAACTTTTAGCAGTTTTGATATTTCTTTAACTTATAATAATTTCACAATTACCAAATATTTTTACACAATTTATTTGAAAATAGATAAAGATTAGACAATAGAGACAAAGAAAAAAACGAAAACGTTTCGAAGCATTTTTTTTTATAATATAAACGTTTTTTATTTAAAATTTTCACATTGTTCTATGTCTTAAAATTAGAAATTAAAGTGAATGAATGACCATAGTATTGCAATAGTATTGTTACGGATTTGGTATTTAAATAGCTAATGTAAGTACAATTATAAATTAAATTGTTTTATTCCCCATGCAGTGCAGCACGTGATGAATATTAAGACAGAGCTAAGTTTTAAAATTAAAAATACAAGAGCACATGCATTTAACATTTAATAAATAAATATCTCTTTTTTTTATTTCGAAAAATTGCCAGAACAATCTCGCGCGTAATTTAAAAAGCCTTTAAAAAGGAGGAAAACCTCTCAATTGAGTAGTTGGTTAGTTGAATTGAGTTGAATAGTGTTGTTGATTTAGCTAGTTCTGCCATTTTTCAAATAGCGGATTCATATTGCAATCGAATTTTGTTAGAATTTTTTTAGCTCATTGCTACCCTCGGGTATTACTATGATTTATTCTTTTAGTGGACGATTGGACGTACAGGAGGATAGCGACTATGTGGAATCGGATGTTTCTTTTGCTAGGGAATTACCAGCAGGTATTTCTAAAGAGACTCAAGAACTTTTTCGAACTCCCAAACCGGTTAAGGAAGCTAAAGCAAAGAAGTATATAAAGGACATAACTGAAGCAAGCTGTTGCATCTGATGCACTTGCGACTGATGTATCAGACAAGGAATTCGGAAATAAGACTGAACTTTACCAGGTTGAGACAAATCAGGAAACCGAACAATTTCTGAGGAACATGATACTGCAACAAGGAGTGGATAATTTTATGGAAAAACTCAAATCGATCAGATTCAATCCACCCAAGATGTCACCGACGAAAACCATGAGAAAGCGAATTCGTACTGACAACCCCTCGACTGAAAATAATTCAGAAACTCAACAGACGGAGGAAAACCCAGAGAATGAATGAATCAAGCCTATAAAAGTTGCTAAAATCCCAGAAGAGCCCAAACCTATGGATATTCCACATCAAAACAGATTCCAAACACTTGCAAAGCAACCAACATAGAATGAAGGAGGAGCTCATTACCAAGAAACGCTTTCCCCCATTGTTATAGCTCATGATGACGTAAACTGGTTGGAAATTGATGAAATGTTTCAGGAAATCTGTTCCGAGGAGTTTGAATCAACTTTGAAGG